TTCTTTTGGGGGTCTATCCTGCCGAAGGTTCGTTCAGCTTCTTGCATGCTTATCTTCTCATCCTTCAAGATGTTAGGGAAATTTTCATCCAGCAACTCTTCAATTATCTCTTATAAAGTTTTCTTTGTCTTTTCCTGCCCTGGATTCCAATCAGCCTCAACTTATATCTCTTCCTGTTGTCCCACATGAAAATTAGGGTTTTATTTTTTCTGCTTGTTTTCCTATCTTAGTCGTTTTGAGAGATTTATCTTCAAGCTTGCTGATTGTGGGTTCTAGCCCTTCAATTCTATTCCTTTGTCCTGTTTTCCGTTTCTGATATTTTAGCATTAATTGTCTGGACTTATTTTTGTCAGTTTTGTATTTATTCCAATGTTGTATCTATTTTATTTGATTGTCTCTGTGGCACTTTTCTGACTACTTCCTTAGTTTCCTTGACTTTTCTGTGGTACATTTGGATTCACCTCAATATTGTTCTCCTGAATTCCCTTTCAGACAATTCCAAAGCCTCTTTACTCTCTAATACCATTCATAGTTCTTCTTTTTGGTCATTTGTTTGAGCTACTCTGTCTTTTTTCTGCAACTGAGCAGGAATTTTCTGCTGCTTTTTAGGAATTGTGGTGTTGTTGTATTTGTATTAATTAGATAAATGAATGATGGTGTATTCTTAAGCACACTTCATTTGCCTCCTGGTAGGTATGATCACTGCTCTTACAGCTTACTTTTGAGTGTTTAAGCATTGCTGTGGTGTATGTTGTTGTTATGTGACATCGAGTTGGTACTGACTCATAGCAACCCAGTATAAGGTTTCCAAGGAGTGGCTTCTGAGCTTGAACCAATGACTTTGCAGTTCAAAGTGACCTTGCAGTCCAGCACATTAACCCACAGTGCCACTAGCTCTTGCCCTGTTGTTGTTTTTTTTTTAGGCTGCAATTGTAGCTTGGTTGTATGGCTGCAGTGGCTGTCTCTTGTTAGGTGAGGCATGCAGAGAAACTCTCCCACAAAATAGCAACAAGGCCAAAATTCAAGCTTAAACACCAAAGTGTCGTAAAAATCCAGGAGAAATACTTATAAAATACTATCAAAATCTAGGAAAACCAGGAAAAACAAAGAGAAAATTATAAAAGAAAGTAAAATTGCTGAAAATATGAGCAATTTTTCAGCACCATCTAATGGACTCTTGTCCTGGTGTGGCACTGTGGGTTACTGTGCTGGACTGCAAAGTCAGTTTGAACTGCAGGTTGGCAGTTCAAGCTCACCAGCTGCTTGTCAGAAATCCTATACAGGGTTGCTATGGGTCAGAAGTGACTCAATGACATTTAACAACAACTATGGATTCTTGCCTTCAAAGCTGACTGAGAAATTCCATGATGTTCCTGTGGTGCCAATGTGATATGACCCAATGTGATTTTTTCCTCCTTCTTCCCTCAAATTCGTTGATCTGTGTCTCCTAGTGAGAACCAGCACAGGAACGGCCTTTGGGAAAGACTCCTGAATCAGTTTCGTTCTTCTGTCTCCTCCTGTGTCTGGTGCAATTGCTTCCCCCAAGCAGTGCAGATCAGTGCCAATGGTTCTGTGTGTCTCAAAACCTTGCACACATGACATAGGACCTTCCTGGGAGTTGGGGTTGGTGGTGGTGGTGTAGTCATGAAAGTCTCCCCTGTGGACAGCAGCACAGAGATACACAGGCAAAGTAAGTGAAAAGACATGGTAAGGAAGAAAAAAGACACTCACACCTCTGTTTCTGCAGATCACTGGCTGGTGCCTGCACTGGTAGGGCTTTCTTGTTCCTTTTTCTGCACACTACCATTCACAATGGCTGCTGCAGAATACACCAGCCATCCCAGATCAGAAGCCACCTCCTTTCTTGATCCTGTTCCAAACCTTACTCCTGGTAAGCACTTGAATCACTTATTCATCACTTTATCTGAAGTTCAGAGTCCCAACCATCCTTTGATTCTGTTTCAACCAGTTTTCAATGCTTTCACTGATGGGGGTCTGCACGGTCTTTCTGTTTATTCCTCCATCAAACTCTACCCTGTGTTCTTGTCTTTTATATAAGTGAGGTCATACAATATTTATTCTTTTATAATTAACTTTTTTCACTCAGCATGAAGTCTTCAAACTCCATCTAAGTTATATCATATTTCAAGACTTAATTATCTTTCTGGCTCAATAGTATTTCATTGTATATATATATATATGTATATCATATTAGTTTTATCTGTTTGTTCATTGGGAATCCTGGTGTGATGCTGTAGGATAGGAACTGGACTGTTAAATGCAAGGTTGGAGGATCAAACCCACCAGCCACTCATCATAAACTCTATACAGGTTCATTATGAGCTGGATGGAACTGACTCAATGATATGTAATAACAACAATATTTGTCTGTTGATAGGCATTTATGTTGTCACCTTCTAGATTCTGTGAACATTGCTGCAATGAACATTGATGTTCATGTTGTTGCTTTCAAGTCCCTTCTTGTTGTTTCTAAGTGCCATGGAGTCATGCTCCCAAGCCTAAAAGATAGGGTTTTAAACTCATCATTTTCACAGTATAATTTGGGCCAGTTACTTAAGTTCTTTCTTATTCAGTTTCCTCACCTGCAAAATAGGAGTATGGCTCCCACAGAGTCTCTATGAAGTTGAATACTTTATATATAAACCTGCCTGTCCCATTTTAAGTACTCAAGAGATTTTAGTTACTACTATTACTGAGCTTCAGAAGGGGCACAGAGTTTTGGGAGACACAGTGGCAGATAAGGGATGTATGCATTCAGATTCTGTTAGGCTCTGGGTTCCTCATGCACATACTCCTCATAATCTGGGTTCTCTTTTGATTTAAGAGAAGTTATCCTCAAGAGTGCACACTGCTCAAGACTTATACCTTTCCTGACACCTTCAGCCTGAGTTTTCTTTCCTGGAATGCCTAGGTTCTACTGGACATGTGATTAGCCTCTCAGGAGCAACTCTGTGTCTACAGTCACCTCACCCACTTAAAGAGATACAGCGCATCGAATGGAAGGTACAGTTAATCTCAGATCCAAAATGCCATATGATACTGACTCAGAAGACTAATTCCACTGTGAAGTATGAACCTTGGAGTTTGAAGCATTTCAACAATCGGCTTAACTATACTGGCAAAGACTCGACTCTTCTCATCAATGCAGCTCAGCATCAGGACAGTGGTTACTACTTGCTGGCTGTCACTGATACAAAGGGGTTTGTTATCAAAACCCACTTCCAGGTTTCTGTATTTGGTGAGTCCCCAGGTAGCATATCCTTCTCCTTTAACTCCTACACGGATTATATTTTCAGGACCTTTCTGATCAGTATCTCTGCTTACAGATCATGTTGAAAAGCCACATTTGCAGGCAGAAATGAAGGTCTTGGATAATGGAATGTGTCAAGTGAATCTGTCCTGCTCAGTCTCCGGGGTTGGGGATGTGAGTTATGCTTGGTACAGAGGGAGTGAGCTGATACCGATACCCAGCAACCTCATCAACCCCAGCAACCTGGTGGATCAGATTGGTGTTGAAAACTTGCATACGTATACCTGCAATGTCAGCAACCCTGTTAGTTGGGCAAGCCACACCCTCAACCTTACACACGGATGTCTGAGGGCTCATCAGAGTAAGTAGTTCATTTTGGACTATAACTGGGACTCCAGGTGTTGGACCCCACAACCAGGCTCATGTATAGAAAGATCTGGTTTGAGATCCTTGACTTCTTCCCACAGTGCCTTGTAACAGCCCTTCCTGAGGGGGCATTGACCTCTAGTCATACAGTCCCTATAAAATAAGGCCTATCCTAGTCCATAGTGGAATCCTGGACTGCTAACTTTAAGGTTGGTAGTTGAAACGCACCCTATACAGGGTCACTATAAAGTCAGAACTGACTCAGTGATACTTAACAACAACAAAAACAGTCCCTGGTGGTACTGCAAGATAAGCACTGGATTGTTAACCATAAGGTTGGCAGTTCAAACCCACCAGTTGCTCCATAACAGAAATATGAAGCTTTCTGCTCCTGTAAAGATTTACAGATTAGGAAACCCTACACAGGGTCACCATGAATTGGAACTTGATGGTAGTAGGGGGTTCTTAATCTGGGAAGAATTTTATCCCCAGCTGTATGGGAGATGCGAGTTTTTATATCTTGCATTTATATATATATATATATATATCAAGGAATGAATAGTTGTTGAGCCACAGTCCTGTAATGGCCCCTGACCATTACTTTAGTTCTCTGAGAGACTGATGGAAACCTACTTCCTCTTTCTGAGCTGTATGGTTCCCTATGCCATATAGTTGCCCAAGAGATAACTACACTACACGATAGTACCCTTAGCAGTGGATTCTTGATATATGCTTATGCTTATCCTGAGAAATAATCTGAGTTAAGTTTGTGATACTTTTTATTAGATAAATGGGCCATTAGCATGGACATTACAGGGAAAAAAAGAAACCAAGCTGTTCCTGTCCTTAAGAAGCTTATGCCCAAACTGGGGCAACACACTATGTGGACAAAAAAGAAATGAAAAACACTGAGACAACATGCATAGTGACAAGGACACTGGTCATGAATGGGTTTCACCATTTACTAGCTTTGTGATCTCAGGAAAATCCATTCATTTGAGCTTCATTTTTTCTTTTGATTAAAATGGGGATGGTAATAATAAGTACCTCACAGGATTTTTATTAAGCTTAAATGAGATCATGCTTATAAAGAATCTAGTCAACCAACATCTGGAACAAATATTTAATCCCTTTCCTTTCCCCTCTGGTTGGTTGTATCATATATCAGGCTGCATGTATGACATACCATTACAAGCAGAAATTCAAATAGGGAAGAAGAGTGAAGGCAGGAGTAGCAGGAAGGTGAAATGGGAGAGATTCCTGGTACATATAGATACACAATAAATATTTGTTGAGTTAAAAATAAATGAATGGATAGATGCAACTTTTTGCCATGCCAGGTGCTTTACATAAATTTAATACACATGATTAACCCCCATAGATAGATAACATCATCTCACTTTTACATGATGAGAAAACTTGAGGCTTAGGGAAGTTAATCTGTTCAAGGGCATGCAATTTATGTGGTAGGATCTAAATTTGAGCCAAATCTGTTAGCTGTTAGCATTCAAGTTCAGGCCTCATTCTTGGGGATGGCACCCAAATAAGCAGAGAGAGACAACCTTGATTGTGAAATCATAGAACATGTGGAGACTAGCTACACCAGAAATGAGAATGGATTTTGAGATCTCCTCAGTAGCAGGAAGGTAGGAAAGAGCAGAGGGAGGGCTAAACTCTCAATCCCCAGGCTTCTGTGTTCCTCAGAATTCAACTTTCTGCTCTGTGCGGTGATCACAGCGATTCTGCTAGTCATACTATTCCTTGGCACCCTCACCTACTTCTGTTTGTGGAAGAGGCACAGGAAGCAGTCATGTAAGTGGAAAGGTCCCAGGAGGTGCTATTGTCTGAGGCATCAATATCAAATGACTTGATCCTATACCTAGTGGGAGGTGTTTGGGAGTGCAGCAGCCATTTTCCCTCAAGAGTGTTGAGATATGTGTATGTGTGGTGTATGTGTGTGTGTGGTGTGGTGGGAACAGCAGTGGCTCATTCCTTTTACCCAATTCATGTGTCCTGTGGTGGCCACTTTGTGTTTACAATCTTACCCCAATGTACAAATTTATCTGTAAGTGGCAGATGTGGGGGTGGCGCTGTTCGACAGACTGACCCTGTGCTCTTTGGTCTGATGGAAAAGTATTCGGGGAGGAGCAATGACCTATCTCTTTCCCAGAACCTTTCTTGATCTTGGTCACCTGGGATGGAGGTAGAACCTGTCAGAAGAAGAAATCTGGACAGGATGCTCCCTGGAGATATCTACAACTCTGTTAATTGCTCCCTTTCTCACCTAGGTTCCAGCACAAAAGGATATCTAACAGTTTATGAAGATGTCAACAATCTGAAAATCATGGGAAATCGAGTATGGCATCCTAGGGCCTGGGGTCTCTCTTAATTTGTCTGGAAGAAAGATGCTTTTGGGTGAATGGCCACCATTCAGAATAGGAGGACAAATAGAACTGGACAATTTTTCTCCTAAAGTGGTCCTTAATACTTCTTAAATGATCTTTTCTTATCAGTCTCCTAGGTTTGGCAGTGGAGGAAAGAGGAAAAGAAAGGAAGAAGAGATGGGAAAGAAGACAGATGGGGTCTCTTGGTGAAGACTATAACTGCTGAGAAGGGATGGAGTCTGGCATAAACCAATAAAATAACATGGGGCAGAATGCTGCTTTGGGCTCAGGGTCCCTGTGCTGGGAACCTCCTAGACCTAGGAGACAGACAGGTGTAACACCAGAGGCAACAAGATGCAGCAAGAACTTATACCTTTTCAAATGAGCCCTGCTGCCTCCACTGGCTGCCCATTAGAACCCAAATGGGCAATATTTACTCAGAGGGCAAGCAGCAAAAAATACTGCCACCTATAGGGTATAGAAAGGGACCTCTGTGCTCTTTGCCTTTGGCCTCAGGCATTGGGCTGCATCCATGACTGCAGCTGCTTGAAGGGCTGACTTGAGAAAAATTGGTCCCCAAGAATAGATCCAGAGAGTGAGCTTAAATGTGCTCAGGTTTAAAGCATTCCAACTCTCTAAATTTCAGTGGTCAGATGACTGCTAATGTAAGGCCCAGAGCTTAGCCCTAACTCATTGTTTATGTGGCAAACTAAATATTAGTTGATAACTAAGCAAATGAAAGGAAGGACTTCCAAGTTACTAAAGGAAGCAAGTGACAGGAACCCCTTGGACAGGGTGGCTTAATGCTGTCTTGTTATATACTCACTGGGACATATGCGCTCCTGACACTCACGTGTCTGTACATCCTGGTGTTAACCAATGAGGATTTCCCAGGCCCTATCACCTTCCTTCCAGGCTCCTTGCCTTTGTGCTGTCTAATTCCACTCAGTCCAAACTTGGACAGATTTCACGGTACTGCATGCTCTCTTTATTGTTTCTTGTGCAGGAACAGGATCAAAAGCAGAATTCCACTGCAGAAGACAGCACCATCTACTCCAGCATCCAGCCTCAGGTACCTCTCTAATTGTTCTCATCCTTTCCATACTATCTTCCGGGACTTCCTAATGACTCCCAGACACTCATTTGAATGGCAAAATAAGATTTTGTCACTTCTTCAGGCTAGAAGACAGCTTTGTCTCAGCTGGATTAGCAAGTGATTTGAAAAGACCAGAGTGGTTCTTGAGTGTCCTAACAGAGCTGGAATATATGACATATGCAGACATTTCTTTTTCTTACATGCCTGGCAGAAGGTCAGGCCTGAGAGTCAGCTTCCATTTTCTCTTTCTGCTCCTTCCAATATGTGGGGTCCTTGCACTCTTCATCCTCCTTGCCTATCATTCCTACTTTCAGGAAAGAGTGAATCTATATTGGTTCCTTTATAAATTGGCATTTATTAAGTGCTAATTATATTCCAGACACTGTGAATACTGCTTTAAATCAATTTTCTCATTGAATATTACAGAGCAGCCTTAGAAGCACTGCATCTCCTATAATCTCCATTTTGCAATGAGAAAACTGAGAGTCAAAAAGGTTAACTAACTTGTTCAGAACTATATAGCTGGGTAGTGACAAAGCTGAGCCAAATGGTTTATGAGACTATTCTCCCTCCTCCCAACCCAACTATAACTTTCTGGAATTGTATAAATGTATACATAAACTGGAGAAACAGGTTAAAGATCAGTTGCTGCACAATCAGTTCTGATACTGGCAATCCCATGACCATCTAGAGTAGAAATATGCTTCATAGGGTTTGCAATGACTAAAGTTTTAGAAATAGATTGCCAGGCCTTTCTGTCAGGTTACTCTGGGTGGACTTGAACCTTCAACCTTTCAGTAAGCAACCAAGCACATTAGCCCTTTGTACCACAGCATCTTCTAATATTGACAGCTAAGATGCTTCCCTTGAGCAATTCTCCCAAAGAAAACACTGCCCTGGATAGCCAGTGATGAAAATATCTCTGATTAAAATAATTTTTGAAGAACAAAGACCTGAAGCAGTAATCCGCTCTATTCGTGGCTGAGCTGTAAGGTAAAGGTGAAATAAAGAAATGATACAGGCCTCAGAGGAAGTTCATGAAAAGGAAAGACAGAAAGAAGAAAAGAGGAAGAGGAAGAGAAAAAGAAGACAATGAAGGAGAGAAGAAGAGAGGGGGAAGTGGAAAAGAAAGACAGAGCAAGGAAGATACTCAACTACTCCAAAGACTTCTGTGGAATGAGGAGGGTTTGTCTCCTCCTGTTTCCCTTAAGATAAGCATTTCAATGACAGTGGGTGAAAGTCATCAAAAAACATCAAAGAGAAATCCCAAGAGTGATTGATATCTGCTTGTTCTTTAACTTTGTTGTTGTTGTTACCTGCCGTGAAGTCGGTTTCGACTCATAGTGACCCTGTATAGGGTTTCTGAGGCTGTAAATCTTTATGGGAGCAGAAAGCCTCATCTTTCTCCCGTGGATCAACTGGTAGTTTCGAACTGCTGATCCTGAGGTTCACAGCCCGATTCGTAACCACTACGCTACCAGAGCTTTAATTCCAATGAGATATTTCAATAAAATTCAGGGAAGAACTCCTTAGACTATATATGGTGTTGAGAGAAAATGAAATTGTTCCCTCTGGAGTGTCTTAAAAAGATGATTACCTGCTTTAGAAGATATCTGGTTCAGGTACAGAGGAAAAAGGCACTCTGTCAAAGGCGTTTAGGTATTGAATAAAGAACCCTGGAGAGCTTAGGGTTGAATCCTGTTTCTATTGTGCACACACTTCCTGACTTAGGGCTGTTTACCCTTTTGGAGTTTCATCTACAGTATGGGGCAAATTATGATAATTTCTACCTTCTGAAACTCTAAATAGAGTTGATATGAGTTGAAACGGACTTAATCGCACTTAACAACACCAACGACATCTTTCCAGGAGTGTTATCCACCACTCGTCTGTCAGTTTTTTGTACTATTCTGGCTTGCATATTGTTATGACGCTGAAAGTTATGCCACCAGTATTTCAAATGCCAGCAGAGTCACTCATTATAGACAAGTTTAAGTGGAGCTTACATGCTGAAATAGACTAGGAAAAATGCCTGACAAGCTACTTCTAAAAATTATCCATTGAAAACCCCATGGATCATAACAGAATATTGCCCTATATAGTGCTGGGAAATGAGCTGTTATGTTAGAAAGCACTCAAAATACACAGTGGGTGCAAAAATGGACTTGAGTATACCAATAACTATGAAGATGACACAGGACCGAGCATTCTGTTGTAGATGGAATCACCATGAGTTGGAGGTGACTTGGCAGCCACTAACAACAACAACAAGGGTGCTTTGTTGTTGTTGTTGTTAAGTGCTGTTGAGTCAGTTCTGACTCATAGTGACCCTGTATAGCATATCTGTGGAGCGCCTATGAGCTTCAACAGCTGACCTTGCAGTTCAAACTGACCGTGCAATCCAGTACATTAACCCATGGTGCCATGCTCCGGCTCCGTAAGGGTTAGGAAAGAATATATGTACAGAGTAAGTATTCATCAAATAGCTGTTGTTATGTTGTTAAGTGTTGGGTCAATTCTGACTCATAATCCTCTTGTATAGGGTTTCTGAGGAGTAGATGGTAGGTTTTAACCACCTACCTTATGATTAGTAATACTGTGCTTATTCTACAATGCTACACCAGGACTTTTTAAATGACAGAGCATGTCTGTGCTCTGGCTGAACTCCTGGGCAGGATTGAGGAAGAAGGATGGAAAAGAGATTTTCCCTAGGGTTGTGCTGAATCTATGCTTCTGAAATAATTTTATTTCTCTTCTCATTAGAGTTCTGCTTCCACATCACAAGAAGCTACAAATTCAATATATTCATTGGTGTCTCCTTCCCTGAAGGTGAGTATCTTCCTCTGGGGAATGATATTGGTGTAGATGTATATTTATTTTGTATGGGCGTCTCATACACACATGCAAATTACACATGTGTGCAAACTACATTTTGGTCTTTTCCTTCTTTCCTGTCTTCTTAATGACGTCTTGCTTTCTTCCTGTATAACGTTATCACTGTCGTCCCACAACTTTTGGTCTATGGTCATTAGCTTCTGATGCATCAAATCTGTTCTCGAGATGGTCTCAATATTCAGATGGGATGTAGTTAAGGTCATATTTTGGCTCTCATCACATTGCTTTTATTCTCTTCAGCTTAAGCCTGAACTTGTATTTGACCAATTGATGGTCTGTTCTACAGTTATTCCCTGGCCTTTTTTCAGCTGATGTTATTGTGCTTCTGCATCATCGCTTCCCACAGGTGTAGTCAATTTGAATCCTGTATATTCCATCTGGTGAGGTCCAGTTGTATTTTTAAAAGGTATTTGCAATGAACAAATCAATGGCCTTGCAAAATTATGTCATACAATTTCCAGCATCATTTCTACCACCGAGGCCTATTTTCCAACTCCTGATCATTTCTCTGTTTTCAACTTTCACATTCCAATTCATGCATCTGAATCACATGTTTGATCAGTTTCAGACCAAAGAAGTTGATAGAGTTCTTCACTTTCATTATTACTGGCTTTAGTGGTTGGTGTGTAAATTTAAAGCAATGATTTTCCTTAGGGTTGTGCTGGATCTATGCTTCTGAAATAATTTTACTTCTCTTTAGAGTTCTGAAGCTACAAATTCAATATATTCAATGGTGGATTCTTCCCATAAGGTGAGTGTCTTCCTCTGGGGGATACTATTGGTGTAAAAGTGTATTTTGCATGTGTATATGCACACAAGTGTGCAAGCATGTGTTTCCAGATGGTGTGTGTGCATGTCCCCCCAGTGAGCTGTCTGCTATTGTGTGTATTTGTGCATATGACCTGACCACGTTTTGAATAACTAGTATGAAGGCCTATTGTTAAATGTTGAGGACAAATGAGAAATCCCTCTCTGGTTCTGTCCGGAGAGCAAAAGAGCAACAGTTCTGAAGCTCGGGTAACTGTAGAGTTAGAGGAGTTTCTAGGAGTCTCTGTATGAGACAGAGGATAATCAGAAACCAAGAGGGAAACTTTGTGCAGAGGGATCATGAGGACCTTAGTTAAGTCAGCTGAAGTTGTGATGAGAGATACTAAAGAGACTTTCAAGGCAGAGGCTGGATGAGTGGACTGGACCTATACAACATTGACTCTCAAGTAATCAGACAAATATGTTGTTGTTGTTGTTGGTGGTGGAGGTCTCCAGACAGAGTCAGCCTATAATGTTCACCTTGAATCTTTCTCCAAACTGAGTTCATGGCATTCATGTGTACCTACAACCACATGGGAGGCTGAGAGGGTAGTGGGAGTGTTGGAGGGTGGTGGAAAGAGTGATATTCCCAAGTGTAAAACTACAATATGAAGTCTTACCATGGTAGTAGTGGAGGTTGAGAATCTACCAAACTGTGACATACAGGTCAGGAACTATATGTGTATTGATGTGATGAGGGATAGAGTTAGAATCGATTTTCAGATTTTTCTATTCAAATTCTTTCCAGTAAATCAACCTACGAACCAACTTTGATATAATCATGAGATACATTTATATGTAAATTATATATTTATATCATACCTCATTTTATTGAGCTTTGCTTTATCACACCCTACAGATCTACAGATACTGCATTTTTAAAAAAAAACTTGAAGGTTGTAGCACCATTTATGCAACAGGATGTGCTTGCTTCATGTCTGTGTAACTTTTTGGCAATTGTTGCAATATTTCAAAAAATTTCATTATTATTTTATCTTTTATGATGATCTGCGATCAACATGTTTTTAAAAACTGTTTATTGTGAATTGGGTGAAGGTTTATAGAGCAGATTTTCATTCATCCATTTATACACATTTTGTTTCATCTCATCAGTCACAATCCCCTCAATATAACATCACATGTCCCGCTTCCTCCCTGTGTTTCTTGCTTCCATCCACTCTTCATGCCTAATCCTTCTGAACTTTGCCCCTGGGTAAATGCTGCCCTTTTGATATCAAATGGTCGATTATTATAAGATGTGCATACCTCACTAGAGTTATTGTTCCCCTTATAGATCTATCTATTGTTTGCCTGAAAATTAAGCCACAGGGGTAAGTTTAGTTCCAGATCTGAAGGTGACTAAGGGATATAGACTCAGGTTCCACCAGCCTCTATCTCAACAGGAACCTGGTATTTATTATGGTTTGGGGTTTCATTCTACATATTTCCCCACTTTGTTTAGGACATTCCAATGTGATCCCTTTCAGAGCAGTTGGTAGTGGTAGCTGAGCACATCTAGTTTATCTGGTCTTAGAATCGTATAGATTTACGTTCATGTGCTCTATTAGTCCACTGAACTAATTGTTTCTATATGTCTTTGATTTTCATTACTCTTCTTTCCTCTAGACAGGAAGAGACCAATAGTTGTACTCTAGATGGCTACTTACAAATCTTTAAAACCCTTGTTGTTACGCACTAAAGTAGAATATAGAGCATTGTCTCTGTGGACCATGCCAATTGGCCATGGTGTCTATGAGACTATGGTCCTGAACCCCCCAGGCCCAGCAACTCATTCTTACAAAATGTTTGGTTTTGTCTAAGAAGTTTTAATAATACTGTTCCCTGTATGCTCCCTACATTCATGTATATATTTGAAGCAAAGTTACCCATGTACAAATAGCCTCTGTCAAACCTTTACATTTTTGTGAGTATACTCACACTCTACCTCCCACATTGTGTGCTATCCATGCATATAACCACTGTTGTTATTGGTTCTGACTCATAGAAACCCTATACACAACATAACAAAACACTGTCCAGTCTTGCACCATCCTCACAATTGTTATGCGTGAATCTTGCTGTTTTTGTTTACCCTCCACTTTACCAAACATGATGCCATGCTTTGGGAACTGTTCCCTCATGATAATATGTCCAAAGTTTGAGAGAAGAAGTCTTGCCATCCTGGCTTCTAAGGAGCATTCTGTCTGTACTTCTTCCAACACAGATTTGTTTGTTCTTCTGGCAGTCCATGGCACTTTCAATATTCTTTTCCAGTATCATAACTCAAATGCATCAATTCTTCTGCAATCTTCCTTATTTATTGTCTAACTTTCACATGTATATGAGACTGCTGAAAATACCACAGCTTGGCAAACCTTAGTCTTTGCTCTTAAACCCTTTGTGGGCGGTCTTATGCAGCAGATTTGCCTAATGTAATAGGCATTTTGATTTCCTGACGACTGCTTCCATGAATGTTGATGGTGGGTTCAAACAAAATAAAGTATTTGACAACATCAATCTTTTCTCCATTTATCATGATGTTATTTATTTATAAGGAGCTCTGGTAGTGTAGTGGTTACGAATCGCGCTGCGAAACTTAAGGCCAACAGTTTGAAACTATCAGCTGCTCCGCGGGAGAAAGATGAGGCATTCTGCTCCCGTAAAGATTTACAGCCTCGGAAACCCTGTACAGGGTCGCCGACTCAATGGCACTTAACAACAACATTTATTGGTCCAGTGGTGAGGATTTTAGTTTTCTCTACATTGAAGTGCAGCACATACAGAAAACTGTTTATAATGATTACAATCCCCTCTGTGTATCATCATTCAACAGTATTTTCTTCAATTTCCTCTTTGTGTGTGTGTGTGTATAAGGATGTACACAAAATCACTCAGGAATACATACTCATTTAAACAATTAAAGGGCACATTCTATAAGCCTGCCTCTTGGCCACCAGCACATAGCTTTTCTCTTTCCATGAGTCTAGAGTCTTCAGTTGCTCTTTCTCTCCATGTCCTCATCTCTGCCTCCATCTCTGGAGTCACTGCTTCTCTGGATAGAGTCCCACATTTCACTCATGCTCTTCTCCCTTGATGGTCCTAGGGTCCTCTGTTTCTGGAATGTAAGATTAACTACTCCCTCCTTTTTGTTACAAAATGTCTACCTTTACAGGTGTTACAGTCGCAATTAGTCATGATAACAATTATTCATTATTGAATCAAAAGAATCTTATCCCCATCTCCTTTCACCAGACCCATCTAGACAAGACAAAAACTATTCAGTGGGGATTCTACCTCCTCTACACACTCGAAACTAAACTCCTTCTTGAAAACTTGTAAACTAGTCATTTCATGCCTTTATCGCCCCCTCATTTTAGATAGCCAATGTCTAAGTTGCCCATCCCTATCAACCTTGTATACACAGGGGATAAGATTGATAGTTGATGTGAAGACTCCTTCCCTCTCAGTTAGTATTTTGAGCTACTACATCCATAAGTATGGATCAAGTTAATAAAATTGTGGCAATTTATACTTGTTTCCTTTATAAAAAAATTTTTTTTTCTGATCATCAAGCTATCCAGGCTAAGTTGAATGAGTACTATCTACAAGTTTGGGTGTTCTTGTGCATCTCCCCTCACTTCATATCAGATGGACTCTTCACACTCAGCTCTAGTTCTCCATGACTATGTCCTTGTCCATGGGCTCAGGAATCCCCAGGTCTCACCACATTTTTCTCTCTCATCTACAGGTTGATGGGGGTCTATGGAATGTGGTCAGACTCAGCCTATATCTTCATTGCTGCCTTTCCCCCCTTTCACTCACCAGCTGGCCAATTCCACTATCTTTTCATTATATTTTCCATGAACTTTTTAAAGCCCCTTGGCCTTATCTATTTGTTTAGTACCTTTGAATCTGTTCCAACTCATAGTGACCCTATATAGAGCTTCTGTGGTGGATTTGAATCACTGACCTTGTAGTTCAAACCAATCTTGCAGTTCAGTGCTTATCTTACAGTGTCACATGAGGACTCTGGTCCTATCTGTGCTGTTGATAAGTGCCTTTGAGTCAGTTCTGATCCATAGCAATCCTGTATAGGGTTTCCATGCTCTGGTGAGCTTGACCCGCCGACCTTGTGGTTCAAATTGACTTTGCAGTCCAACGCATTAGCCCAAAGCACTGCATTGTCCTATCTATTGTTGTTGTTGTTAAGTGCCTTTGAGTCGGTTCCGACCCATAGCGACCCTGTACAGGGTTTCCGAGGGTGTTACGGGAGTAGAAAACCTCATCTTTCTCCCGCGGAGCAGCTGGTAGTTTCGAACCGCTGACCTTTAGGTTCGCAGCCCGATTCGTAACCACTACGCTACCAGAGCAGTGCTTAAATTAAGGATTTCTGTGTATGTGTGTTCTGAGTGTGGGCTTCTGGGGTATATGGGCTTGGTTTCTAACTTTGGTTCAGAAATGTCATATCATAAGCAAGTATGTACTTCCCAGGACACCACAAACACTATTGTTTACTCCTATAGTAGGAGATTCTATTCACTTCTGGCTGGGGTACTTAAGAGGATTTCTGGGATATGGATTTCCTTTGAGACACCTCACATCTTTTATTCTGAATTTAAATACTCTTTACCTTCTGATTTCTCAGTCTGGGTTCAAAGAGAGGATCCATAGTCCTTTCTTCAATAGCAGCATCTATGAAGAGATAAGTGTCTGAAACTGCTTCTGAATAGGTTGAGTCTCCGTAACTCTGAAATCCCGTTTTATGAAAAAGTTACTGAGAGAGTGTCAAAATGGAAGGGATTTTGTTGTTAAGTGCTATCAAGTCAGTTCTGACTCATAGCTTCTGTGTATAGTTTTTAGGAGTGGCTGGTAGGTTTGAACCTCTGATCTTGCAGTCCAGCACTTTCCTTACAGTGCCACACCAGGGCTCCTGAAGAGATTTTAGGATTTTCTAATCCAGATCTTCATTTTACAGATGAAGAAACTGAAGCCCAGGGAGGATGAATATCTATATCAAGGTTATATCATGTTTTGGGGTTTGACTCCTATTGTGGAACTTAGGTTCTAAATTAGGACTGCTCACAGGCTGCCCCCCAGGCTATGGGCAACAAACTCGACATCTCTTCCCAAAGGTTTGTCTATGGGGCAGAGGGGGTTAACAGATAAAGAAATCAAATGTTTTCTAAGGTTGCAAGTAATCAGGAGTCATTTCAAGACATAGGTGATTACTGAGCCTTGTGACTGACTTGATCTTCATCAGGCCATTTAAGGAATGGAAAGGAAAGACCTAAATTTACTGGGGATTTATTATGTATAAGGCAACCTACCAGAGTTGTCATATGAATTATCTCATTTAGTCTTCACACAGTCCTATGAGGTAAGTACAATTATATTTCCCATTTATGCCTGGAAAAATTAAGATGTAGAGAAAATACATATACTTATGTGGTGCTGGAGTTGAAGCATTCAACCACAAGGTTGGTTTGAACTGCAAGTTTGGCAGTTCAAACTCACCAGCTGCTCCTCAGAAACGCTATTCAGGGTCGCTATGGGTTAGAACCAACTCAACCACACTTAACAAAAACAACAACAACATTATCTTCATAGTGCACCTGACCTACCACCAGTGGCCCAATATGGTGTGCTGTCATTGGCCATAGGGAAGGGTGGGTGGCTCAGTACAAACTGTATAGCTTCTGGAGAAACAACTTCAGGTGCTTATCTTGGGACATCAGTGACTGCTGGAATTCCTGGTCCTTCAGCTGTAGCCAACTTGAAAGTGCAGTGTTGTGGAGGACACTGTATGGGCTAAAGCAAGCTTACGGGGGTCAGTAAGAAGCATGATGTGGTTAAAAGTGCCCTGGATATAGAGCCACAATAATTGAATTTAAGTTCCTTCTTTACTTCATATTAATCATTGACCCTGAGTAATTTGTTTCACAACTCTGAGTTTCGTTTTTTTTAGTCCACAAAATGGGAATAATAATTCATACTCCACCAGGTTTTTATGGAGATCTTCTAGTGAGAGAATCTGAAGTTTCTTTTCTTTTTCTTCCTATAGGTTGGAAAGAGACAACTCAGAGCCCAGAACCCTGCTCGACTGAGCCAAAGGGAGCTGGAGAACTTCCGTTTTTATTCCTAATTTCTGCAATATTCTCACCTCTCTTCCATGCCAGCATCTGCATTGGGAATTGCACAATGGGTGATGCCATATGAGTCTCTACAGAAGAATAGTTCTTATTCTTATTAGGATATGGGAATTTACTTATAGTCTCTGTTTTGAAAAGAATTTCTATATCTATTAAGAGGAAGTCTGTTAAATTGTATCTTGCAATTTACAGGTAGTGACAAGAGGTGGAGAGATTGGGTAGTTCCAAAAAATTCGTACTGTAAATCCAAGTATTTGTAATTGATAAGGTGTTATGTAAATATAGGATGATATTATTATTATTATTATTATTAGCATCTAGATTCCATTTAATGGGTTTTTAATCTGTTACTTGTCTTCCCTTCACCCTGAACTGGAATGACTATATATATATACACCTATTTTCCAAACTGAGAAGAAAAATTCATAGTGACTTAGAGGAAAAGGAAACAGTCTCCTTTTAAAAGTTGGACTAGTTGGTGGTTATTAAACTGACAGTTTCCCCAAGGTGGTCAGGGCTTGGACTTTAATCAAATACAGAGAAAATACTTTCCCACCATGTATTACACTTTAACTTTTGACAAGTTGGCCACAAGGGGGAGTGGTTAGGAGTGAGATTAGATGGTGCAAAACAAGCCCATCTCTGAATAGAAAAACCACCCAAAGCCCAACTGATAATAGGGCAGTGAGACCAACTTTGTCTATGTTATGACTTTTGATTTAGCAAGATACATTATTAGAAATATATTTTGGATTCTTAACAATTTTCCTCACATGTTTTAGTCTACTAAAGTTCTTAGTCCCCATGGCACACTGTAGGGAGGACTCAGATAACTGAATGTTCCAAATGAGACACTGGGGACAAGGCAGTACACTGGGCTCCCCTGAGCCTTAATGCCAGCCCCTTCAACAAGACTATGAAGAAGACAGATGAGTGTTTAAACCCAGACAGAAACAAGAGTAAATTGGAAGAGGTCCTACCCAGAGACTCCACAGGTTAGACTGTGGAGACTTGGGTCTTCATTGGCATTAGACTGTGTTTAACATGTGAATTTAAAGTTGTGGTGTTATGGAGAGGTGGTCTAAATTCCTTGATGGAATTAAATTTCTGTGTCTTCCCTATACTCTACAGAAGCCAAATGGCATTGTACATGTCGATAAATACATATCCAGATATTTGACCTTTGAACTCTTGAGTGCCTTCTTCCTTTTCCAGGGATGCTGTGTAGGGGCATTCAAAATTGTCCAGCATTTAACATACCATCTTAGGCTGTCCTACAACACAGCTAGTAACAAAAAAAACTGTCCCAAACCCTTGGTAATAAAATTGTTTACCTCTATACCAAGAAAGTTGGTAAAGCACCAAATCTGCATGCAGTGTGTGCCCAGGCCAACTGTGAAGGGTCTGTGCTATGAGACCTAAAGTTCTCATGAGGTTGCCCAAGACAAAGAAACATGTCAGCAGGGCCTGTGGTGGCTCCATGTGTGCTAAATGTATCTGTGACAGGATCAAATGTGCTTTCTTTATTGAGGAACAGAAAATCATTGTGAAAGTGTTGAAGGCACAAGCACAGAATCAGAAAGCTAAATAAAAAATAATGGAGTTTTGTTGAATAATGAAATGATCAAATGTCTTGTTAAAAAAAATAATAATTTAATGTTGCTGGAGAGGGGTTTGGTCTCCTAATGAGTTGTCATTGTCCCGAGTCGAGTCGTATTCACACTAGAACAGCAGAATCTCTGATTTTAGGGGCAATCACTTGCTTATGCCTCACCTGATCTCTTTTTCCTGGGAACTGTGTGCCCAGCCAGGATACCTTTTTCCCAGAGAGAAGTGTGGACAAACACATCCTAGAGCAAGTGTCAAGGGTAAAACATGGGAAAATATATTCAAGAGTCATTTGAGCTGTGGGGGAAGGCACTCAAGCAAGGGACTGGCAGTTAAAAATTGGAGATCAAGGGGTTTGGCCAGCAAAGGGAGCAGATGGTAGGAGTCAGTACAGTCTAGACGAACATTATTGACACCGAGCATTACTGATGATGGTCTTTCAAATATCCTGGGTTGTGTAGCTCTTGAAATGGCCAAATTTATTCAGTGTATACTAATGTGGCACTGTAGGATAAAGCACAGGACTGCAAGGTTGGTGGTTCAAACCCATCTGCTGCTCCTTGGAAACTCTATACAGGGTCACTATGAGTTGGAAATGACTCAAAAATTAACAACAACAATGTACAAAATTGTAGTATCATGTGTCTGATTGTTGAGCTTCTATGGTGATGCCTTACAAAGACAATTATCCATGCAATGAGACAATCAGTGAACAAGCAGTACTTTAGCTCCTATTGTATATGAAGCCCTGCCTGGCTACCTGGAAGGACCTCTTCAAGTCCATAAAAGCCATACTGACTCCAAGATCCATGTGCAGGAGAATATGACAGCAGAAATACAACATTAAAGGCAACAGAGTAGCTGTAAGGTGCATGTAACACAAATTTGCATGATGATGTTATGAGTACAAGTCAAAGATAAGTTAAATATATGACCATTACTGTTGTAGGCCAGTTATATAGACAGAAGTTTATTATCAAGGAACTGGCTTTCAATTGCAGAGTCCCAGATCCCCAGAGAAAGAGAGGAAAATTCCCACCCGCGTGTCTATTATATTGGGAACAGGCCACACTTCCCAGGAAGCATCCCTTTAATTGATTGGCTATCATAGTTTTAGAGAATTGATTGGCCACTCATCATAGAGTTACCTATGCCTGTATGAGGCTTCGTCACCATGGTAATAAGCACATCTCAATTGTTAAACCTCTGGAAATTCTGGCCTAGTCAAGTTGACACAAATCCCTAACCAGTACACCCACTAATGGACATCTAAGTTATTTCCAACCTTTTATTTATTTATTTGATAGTGATTCTTTTTCTTAAGTTTTTATTGTGAGTTGAGTGATAGTTTACATTGGAGAACATCAGTTTTACACTCATAATTTCATTGCAATGATAACAGTCTCCTCAGTGCATCATTATTCAACAGTATTGCTTTTATTCCCTTTGTTTTTATTTTTTAGGATGTACATAAAAACACTCAGGAATATACAATCATTTAAACAACCAAAGGGCACATTCTGCAAACCTGCCTCCTGGCTGCCAGCACACAGTCTTTCTATTTCCATGAGTCTAGAGTCCTCATCTGCTCTCTCTCCATCTCTGATAGCACTGCTTGTCTGGATAAGGCCCACATTCCACTTGTGCTCTTCTCCTTTGATGGCCCTAGGGTCCTCTGTTCCTGGACTGTAAGATTAACTTCTCCCCCCTTTTTGTTATACAACTTCTACCTTTACAGGTGTGACAGTCACAATTAGTCATAACAATTATTCACTATTGAATCATAAGAATCTTATCCCCATCTCCTTTTTACCAGACCTGTATAGACAAGATGAAAACTCTTCAGTGGGGATTCTACCTTGCCCTGCACACTCTGAAACTAAACTCCCCCCCCCTTTTTTTTTTTAAATGCTTTATTGTGAATTATGTGATAGTTTACATGGGAGAACATTAGCTTCACATTGATCCCTTCACATTGATATCGTCACAAGCTTGCCCCCTGGTTGTCTGCACACAGCCCGTCTTCCTCTCCAAGTCCAAAGTCCCCAGCTGCTCCATCTCCCTATGTCATCGTCTCTGCCTCCATCCCTGGCATCACTGCTTCTCTGCGTAGGGTTCTGTTTTCCGCTTTTTTCCCTTGATGGTCTCAGGGACTTCCACTCCTAGACTGCAAAGTTAATCACTCCCCTCCCTTTGCCACAAAATGTCTACTTTTACATTTCCAGCCCTTACAATCAGAGCTGATAACAATTATTTGCTATTGTATTGCAAGAGACCTATCAGCATCTCCTTTCATCAGCCCCGAATAGACAGAATGGATACTACTCAGTGGAGAGTCTACCTTGCTCCATGTCCTCTGGATCTATGCTCTCTCTTCAAAGCTTGTAAGCCAGTCACTTCTTGCCTCTGTAGCCCCCTTATTCTGGGTAGTCAATGTCCAAGTTGCCCATCCCTGTTCTCTCTGTGTGCGAAGTGGGTGGGAATGATCCCCACTGTGAAGATTTGTTCTCTATTTTAAGCTACTGTTTTCATAAGTGTATGTCAAGTTCATCAAATTATATCAGATTATCTTTTTTCCCTCTTCTTTCTTCTTGTGGTTGAGCTCTGATCATCCAGTCATTGAAGCCAGGTTAAGTGGGTATTATCTGCAAGTGTTGGTATAGTTATGCATGTGAACTCTCTTCTTATCAGCTGGATGCTTCACTCTCCACTCTAGCCCTCTGTGGCTATGTCGCTGACTCTGGGTCCAAGAGTCCCCTGGACTTGCCACACTGCTGGGTAACCAGGTCTCCATTCGGGTTCACAGGAGACTATTGAGCATTGTAGGGCTCAGCTCGCAGTTTCATTGCTGCTTTTCCTTCACTTCCCTTTATTGATGATGAACATGGTCACCAATCAGAGCAAACTAAACTCTCCCTTGAAAACTTGTAAGCCAATCACTTCGTGCCTTTATATCCCCACCATTTTAGGTAGCCAATGTCTAAGTTGCCCATCCCTATCAATCCTACATACACAGGGCATAGGATTGATACTTGATGTGAAGACTCTTTCCCTCTCAGTTGGTATTTTGAGCTACTACATACACAAGCAGGAAGCTCTGGTAGCGTAGTGGTTACAAATTGGGCTGCGGACCTTAAGGTCAGCAGTTTGAAACTACCAGCTGCTCCGCAGGAGAAAGATGAGGCTTTCTGCTCCTGTAAAGATTTACAGCATTGGAAACCCTGCATGGGGTCGCTATGGGTCGGAACCAACTTGACGGCACTTAACAACAACAACAACATACATAAATATAGGTTGGGTTCATCAAACAGCTTTTTTTAAAAAATAATACTTCAATGAATATCATTTTACATAGATCTTTGTACAACAGAATGAGAGTATCGAT